AAATAACAAATTATTTGACGGTTCCGATAGAGCAGTTACTAGTGTTATACGTACTTGATAATTACAATGTAGACTGCCAGTACTGTTATAGCAGTGGGAAACTCAAAACTACTATACAGCAGTTGCATGACTATATGTATATTTAGTCATGAGCAGTAGTACGTAATTTCGCTTCTAAAAGTATCTACTCAAAAATAAAAATAACTTGGACTGTCCATCAATGTTAAAAAAAAAATTATATGTTAATTAAAATTTATGAAAAAATTAACATTTATCTGGACAATAATTTTTCTCCAAAAATACACCACCTTGTGTTCCATTTCCGGTTGTTTTTAATATTAAACACAAACATTAAATCATCATTTTTAGAAATAATTATAAGTTATAATATCAAGAAAGACCATGGTAAATTATTTAAAAAAACAAGAGAAAGTGTTCAAACTATTTTACAGTCTATATTATATTTATTTGGTACCTGTATAAAGGAACATTGTGATATCTTTGAAGTAATCCTTTTACGTCGTCCTTCCAAAATTTAAAAATATTCATATACTTTTAAAATTAGTTGAATAGATTCGTTGTTTATAATGAAAAGTATAACAAAATTTTTTTTTTCCATTCCGAAATTTTACTCTATTTTGTCCTGTAAAATATTGTACTCGGATGATGGTCAAATTTCAATTTAATATTCAAACTTAAATATTTTCATACTTCCTAGGTATATATTAAATTATTAAATTATTCAATGTAGGTACAGATTATTAATTAGTTTTAAACCAAAGTTATCATTAAAAGTAAACATATTTCAAAAAGTATCGTATTCTTTATCAATAGGTTTAAATCTTTTTAAGTATTATTTACATTATCCGTTTAAATTAATATTTAGTTCATTCGCGGAAATGCTCTATCAGTATTTCTATATTTTTCCATAACAAATTACAACTTTTGTTGTTTATTCGATTATAAAATATAATACGAGAACTTTTGTTCTTCTATCCCTTTCAATGGTTCAAAAATTAATTTTTATTTACAAAAAAAAAAAGACGAGAGTTTTATTGGCACAAGCAAAATGCTAGAGAAGACCTTAGAAAATCTAAGAACTCGTACATTATAATAATTGCAAAGAATACGAGAAGAAATATTGTTATATAATTTTTATTTATTTTTCTAGCTTACACACAATATGCTCTTAAATAACATTTGTTTTACATTTTAAATTGAAATAAAACTCTTTGTAAGCATATAGTATAGGAGGTATATATGAGATGTTATTATTATTTTTATTATTATTATTTGAGAAAAATGTGCTTTTTATTATACATACTTTATATTTTCCCTTACCAAATTTCTGGGAAATGTATTGTTGCGTATATTACCTATATATAACCCATCATTAAATACATCAATGATAAATAATAAATTGATTGTAGGTTAACCTTTCGCCGTAAACATATTTCAGATTCTGAGTGGAGCGATGAATGTATTGGTTTTACATTGGCATGTGTGTTGTTTTTTTTTTCTATTCCACACAACTCTTTAAAATTCATAATAAACGGTAAATCAAGTTTGCCTAAATAACATTGTCTAAGCAGTGAGTTCTAGAAAAAAAACATTTAACTATTACGCAAATAGTTTGTTTAATATAGAAATACCTACCTTTATACGAACAATTTCCACAAAATAAATATTTAAATAATGTTTATATATTATTATAGCCATCTACTCATACATAAAATAATTTATCACATATTCACATTGTATAATATATAGAACATGTGGCCTGCAGATATGCACCTGCTGTATTCCAGTAAAATCAAAACAAAAAAAAAAAAATCATTTGAACAGACATTTCCAATTCTTTCTAGTGAAGATTTTCGCATAATATGATTTAATAAACCTCAACAGACGACTTTCTTATGTTGGACACTCGCAGCTTCCGTTACGATTTTTAGTATAAGGCGATTGTGAATTTCACTGTAGGGACAGTGTAATACGCTTAACTGCATAATCATAAGGCACATTATTAAAATGTATACGTCGCAGTAGGTCATAATATGTATATGGTATATTTGAACATTATTCTAATGCATTAAGTAATTAAATATGTTATTATTAATCACATATGCGTGCATACAATTATCTAAATAGTAAATAGTGAATTCTAGAAAATAAAATTTACTTATTATGTAAATGGTTTGTTTAATATATTATGAATACAATAAAGACAATATTACCATACAATAAAATCAATACATTTTTAAATAATTTATAAATATTATTTCAAAGGTGGGCATTAACTTGTTAAAAATTTAAAGATAAGATAAAAAGTTATGTTTTTTTCTTTGTTAACTTTTAACTTAACTGTTTATTATATCTATTCAATTTATTTGAATTAATTTAACTTTCCACAGTTAATTATTTTCATTAACTTGCCAACCATTGATTATTTCAACTATCTACTCACGCATTATATATCACATTGCATAATATACCACCCAGTGGCGTCATTTCAGTATTTATTAGACTAGTGGAATTTTTCACTACTTTTCCGACTCAACATTTTTTTCACTCTGATTCTTATAGCATAGTGCCAAATGGGTGAGGAAAATGTGGTAAATGTGCCGACTTAAGGTTGATGTAAATACTAGACCGGGGCAAATTCCCCAGTTGCCCTCCCCCACATGACGCCACTGATACCACCCATATTATGTAAGCCTCGATCGTACGCCAGCTGTATCTGAGTAAAATTTAAAAAAAAAACATTTAAACAGACATTTCCTAATTATTTTTGTTGAAGATTTTAGCATAATATTATTTAATAACTTTCAACAGACCGCTTTCTAATGACGGACAAGCGCAGCTTCCGTTAAGATTATTTCTGTTAACGATTGTGAATGTGGACTGATGCAGCGACAGTGTAATACGCTTAACTCCATAAGCACAATGCTTATAAAAAGTTATTAATATGTGTACGTCGCAGTTGGTCATACTTATATATTTGTACATCACTCAAAATATAAAATATGGTACTATAACGACATACAATGCGATACGAATGCGTTTTATTTTGTTGTATGTATTATTTTTCAAGTATTGAAAATATCCTGTTTCCCCATCTCACCGGAACCGTCTATGTATTTCCGTTAAAATAAAATCTCGTTTACTATATCCATTTATTCAAAAATCTATTTCAACGAAGTTCTGAATCTTATTTTTGACAATTGTTTTGTGTACATTATGATCGGTTGTACAACTCCGTGTCAGGTTTATACGTACGATGTAGTATACATATATTATTATACTACGTATTTTATTTTATTATATTATTATACATGTAACTTAAAGTTAATTTTATATGTACCTATATGTACCTATATGTACCTATATGTACACTAGTTACTAGAATGAGACTAAAAACATCCCAATGCACTTACCCGTTTTTTTGTATATATTTGTTCTTACACCAATAAAAATATAACAAATGATTAAGGGTTGGATATATGTATACCTAATATATAAATTATCCAAGTTTTTTCACGGTTCATTAATTCTATGAGAAAAACAAACAATATATTATGATATTATATATTATCTACAAAATATGGACAGCGAAAAACTCCGATTTCGTTTATTCAACGGTAGGTACTTACCACTACTTAGTTAAAATAATATATTACGTGCGTGTCATCTCTGCAACTGAAAGAAAAATGGAATGCTACATCTATATATAAATTAAACCTTTAAATACTGAATGTTCAGTTTATGTAGATAATTTAAGAAAATAAAAACACGTTATTCTTTCCCCTCAAAATAATTTAATACCACAGGTTAGGTATAGGTTACCACAAGCCATATTTAACCAAGACTAAATGTAAATCATAGTTATATAATAGTAACTAGAAAATTAATACAGTAGAACCAAAATTGTATTCAAACATATAATTAAACTAACCTATAAATTTCACGTCAAAACCTTAAGTCTACGTATATATATCATGTATAGTAACAATAAAAGCATATTAAAAATTGAATGGTTGAATTGGCATTAGGACAAAATAGGCCTGACGGTTAAGAAACGTGTAACATCATCGGTACCAATAAAATAATGACATGTAGAGCATATATAACTAAACAAACAAATAAAATAAAATATAAAAAAAAATAATTTTCGTAATATTTTATTTACACACACACACATTGTTTGGCCTTTAAATGTGCAACAATAACTTTCCAAACACTCAATACAATACAAATACTCGTCATAGAAGCTATATTGGCTTAACGCCTTAACAATGAAGCGTTGTTGTTTTTTCTTCTTTCAAAAAGCTCTCATTTGAATAAAAATTTCATATGGCATACATAGTTAAGGGGTATTGCATCAGGGCAATTTTTTTTACAGTCATTATATCAAAAAGTATCATAGTGGAAATGAGCGCCTCACATTTTGCGAGGTTCCCTTGCTACTTCACACGTCTTACCAAAGCTTTAAATGTTTTTACAAAACAATTCATATTTTATTATTATGCAATATATTTATTCAGCTTTTGACAATAGGTCCTCGAGGTAAAGAATGTAAAAGATACATTCGAATCAAAACGAATTGTTTTGTACTTTGAAAATGCAAAATGATAATATTGCCAAGTTTAATAGATATTATATTATAAGTACTTATTTCATCATGTATAATATACCTAGTCAATAAGTCATAGAATGCAGAACTGCAGCAGTGTAATATAAATTTCATTCAAAATTGTAACATTGTTAAATGTACACTATTATTTTTAATTTTTCCGAAAAAACCCTCTACGATAATATATAATTATTGTTATAGGTATATTATTTTATTTTTTCCTATTCGTTTTAAGATATTATTATGTTTTATCTCCATAAAATATTATACATAATACACCTAACGTTTTTAGTTACCTGTTTATATTTTATATGATTTAAAATAACATTGAAATAATATTGTGGTATACGTATAATACTAGGTATATATTTTATGTTTCCATGTCGTCTACTTCTTCCAAGTATTTTCCGTAACTGTGTTTGATTTTTGTGATAATGTGTCGGGGTAAATTATTATGCATTAATCTCAAAACTTTTTGATTGGGTCCAATCAAAAGCAGGGCGTCGGTAAAGTACTCTGCGGCTAAATCGTCGTCGTCGTTGTCCATGGCATCCACAGCTGCGTTTATCTGCAACAATAAACTCTAAACTCGACTACTCACGAACTACCCAAAGGATTATTAATTTATTGTACACATATTTTGTACACAGAGTGGAGATTATGATGTTAACGGTAAATTAAGCGCGTATTAGATTAAAACTTAAAATTGTATACAATTAATATATCACAAAACTAATTATATAAAACGCCTAGGTAGGTATGATAATATTTATGCAATTTAAATAAATATTTAATATAATAGAAAGTCATAAATATCGTGATATGCATTTTTAAAAAAAAAAAACATTATCATAATTTACTAATTAATATACTTGTTAGAATGTGTATGATTTTGATACATATAATATTTCATAATGTTGTGTATGATAAGTGTCGAGACATAATAATTTAATGTTAAAATCTCAATAAAGAGGAAAAAAATTAATAACATTAAGTACTTTGTGTTTAATTGAGTTTTAAGATATTATTAAATATTGCCAGTTCATTCAAATTTTCTCTTTTCCTAAACTTTCCAAGAGCTAATATTAATTTACCATACATAAAATTTCACTCAATTTCTGTATGCGTCAATAAAGACTTATTTTCGAATCTATATAATATGTGAATTACACAGTGAAGTTAAAACATTTCCGGAATATTAAAAATAAAATGTATACCTAGTGTTCACTGTTCAGTGACGCGAACCTTTTTTTTGTGCGATTTTCTTTTCATCCCCGATGTTAGAAAAATATGTTATTGTGAAGTGTATTATAATATATTAATCCAATTAAATATATGATTATTATAGTAGGTTAAAATATTATGTAACGAGTGTTGACCAATTGACCTCGGTGGCTGTTTTCGGTATTTAAAAAAATGTACAAATTTCCTTCAACATATTATAATATAGGCACATGATCATTATACCGATTATAGAATACATACGATATTTATAGCAATAAGTGGTGAACATATTATACGGAAGTTCGTTTAATAAATGATTGGTCTTTATTATAACGAACATATTAATTTATAAATTTAACTTTAACTTTTTTTTATTTTGAAAGATTACATTAAATGCCTCTCATTGTTATAAAATATATTTTATTTATTTTTGTATTATACATATTTTATTTTAATTTCATTTATTTACATATTAATTACCTCTTCCATTTACGCCAGGTGTGGTACACTCGTGGTAATCGGGTACATAGATACCCATTATTTTTTCAGGACAACTAGTGAATTTTTCTCTAGGAGTAGTTTGGGGAAATTGGAAGTTTAAAAAAAAAGGTAATTGTGAAGTCAACTTGTACGTTATGTCCACTTACGCACAATTAGGTATGTCATTATATCATTACACAAAAACATAATAAAAAAATATAATGATTTTTATCATACATAAAGATATATTATACTAATTGATATGGGCACAGAACGATCGATTTATACATTACGCGTATCAGCTAATATTATAATATAGCAGCGGTAGAACTATAGCGTCGACCCAAATAGAATTTCGAATGAAAAACCACGATGTTCGTCCAAAAAACTGTACGCTAGACTCCATCCATCGTAAAAGGGTTTTGTGTGGTTCATAACGGGCTCTCGAATTATAAAACTATATTATGATATACCTACCATAACATTATGATAAATATATATGTGCCCGGAATTCCGATCTCACGCTGAATTAATATATGTACACTCGCCCGCGCGCGTCCCAAGAGTAGGCTCATTATATTATACACAGGTAGGTACATAAACGTAAGTACCATCAAACATTTGCCACTCGCATAGTATTACCTAACGGTCGGTATTCCACGCAAAATTAATCTCGTTTATGGTAAAAATTCAATTATACAAGCTCGTGTCCCTTGACTCTATACACGTCGTTATAATATACGTAGATATTATAATATACACCGCTGTATATAGGTAGTACCTATTTCACAAACACATATTATTTATGATAAAACTAACAAATACGTACTACGCGCGTTGTATTTTTCGAAAATATCATAAAACATAAAAATATTCTTTTGTTTTCATTTGAAAATATAATTTTTTTTTTACACGACGTATGTAATATATACTGCAGTTTACGGTTTTGCCTTTTATTATTTTATTTATATATAATTATTAATAATAATAACGATTTATTATTAACAGAAATAATTATTTTACATCTCGTTTGTTGTTTTGACTCTCTGCGTGCGTATGGAAATGGTTTTTTTTCGTTTGTTAAATAAAAAACAATTACCTATTACTTTTTGATGAAAACAAATTTCCTCAAAGAGAAAAGTTATTTTTACATATTTTTATGTGAGGCCTGTGCTTTTTCAAGCAATTCCTCTTCGTTTACTTAGCTAATACTTATACTGGGGTAGAGTGGGTTAGGTAGTATAATATTATATAAATATATAATAAAGTAAATTAAACGTAATGGAAAATATATTTTTCAATTTATTATTAGACTTTAAAATATAACTGAATAAAACATAGTCGATTATCTTAATCAGACTATAAGAAAACTTAATCGACTATTAATATAATATAATCATTTTATAGACGATAATAACAGTTTCAAAGTAACTCCTATTAGAGCTGACGGATGTTCGTTCCTAGGCAAATAGAGGTTTCTTTGAAGTACGATTGCCCGAAAAAACGATTACCTTTTAGCAATGCAAATTATTAGTAATTTAATATATTATCACTTCTATCGTGTATTATTAAGGTCTAATGAGTTTTTACTCAAATTTCAAATTAGTTAGATATTTTATAATTACCATCAAAATTACGCAATAAAATTTAAAATTTATAAAAGGCACTGTATAAACATAGGTAGGCACCTACTTCTATGACTTTAATAAAGGCAATGAAAAAAGTTTTTTATTTTTTTGCTTGTTTGTTGTATTTCCAACCTACCTTGGTCTTGATAAAATTGTAAACTGGACGATGGCAAAAGACGATGTCGTCTATGGCGTCCAGCTGTCTCACTATAGTCTTGGCTTTGTCCATGACGAGGTGCTTTTCGTCGACCTTGTGGTCTGCCGATCGAAACGTATACCAGACTATCAACAGATTCATCATTATTATAGCAAATGTATATAAGGCATTCGAATTGTAGCAATTTTTGCAAGGCATGTTTTTTGCGTGTTTAATATATGTGTTTTGTGTAAATAGTAATATACTAGTGTTGTTAATAACGACTTCTATAGTGATTTAAGAATTGATCAACTTGTTGATATAAACATAATTTGTTATTTATTATAATATTTAAAAATATATTTTAATTAATTAGTACTTCAGCTGGATCAACAGAAATCAATATCAGCGTACGTTATAGACGTTATTAGCAACAATATATAAAAACATCAAAATGTGTTCATGATCATTGCAAAGTTAATGAATAGGTAATAAAATATAATTAATGGAAAAAAAATCGTGATATTCGTAAATATTGTCTACTTCTCACGCATATTTTCAATTTGATAAAAAAAGTTTGTTAAAATAAAAATCTAATGGGTTTATTGATTTTTAATATTATAGTTTTATTTACAAAATAAAAAAATACCATTGACATAATACTAGATACAACCATGATTTTAATTTACTAATTGTATTATTAGACTCTTGACAATGGACGAAATAGAACACGTTAATATAACAAAGACAAGTAAGTTGTAAAAATATTTAAAACGAAAACAATGCATGCCCGTCAAACAATAATATTGTATAACCACATATTAATATATTGTAGATGTATAACAATACACAGCAGCTGATACTGTTGAATATATCTGTGTCGTATAACATGGTATTATCATATTTTATCGCAATAATAGTATAAAAATAATGATAACATAATATTACGACAAAATCAAAGATGGTTGAATCAAAATTTTGTAAGATTTCGTTTGTTACGTACCAAGGGGCCGAGCCGTGATGCCGAGGACTGATGGACTGAAAGGCTTAACTATTGAGTGTTTGAGAAGGTTTGGCTCAGCCCCACATTTGAATACTATAGGTACGCCCCTAAATGGGTCTCAGTAAAGACTTGTAAAGTGTGGATTTTATGTGAATTGGTAGTTTTAATTTGAGTATAAGTCGAAGAAGATAGAGGTGGTTATTGAGAATTTTTCGTTTGTACTTTAAAGGTGGGCCCTAGCTTAGTCTTTTGTCTGGTAAAATTCCCAAATATTTTACCTTAGTCATTGTAGGTATTTCGACGCCTTGAAGTTGAAGGGAAGGAGGTTATTTTTCAATGTGTAAATGGTACATGGAAAAGTTTTTAGGGATTTATTAAAACTCTCCAATTAGTTGCCTAGATGCTTATTAAGTCGAGGTGATATTGAAGATACGTTCAATTATGATTAATATTAATAATTTTGATGAATGTTTTCATGAGTCGCTAGTATGTTTTGATGGAACTTTTTACATAATATTATATACTTTTCTAAACTATAATAGCATTCTCGAGTTCCAGATAATAATCAAAAACAGTGAGGTGCATTAAGTTAATTACAATTGTTTTTGATTAATTATATCATATAACTTCAAACCTAACCTAACCTAACCATATGTAACCCATTAGTAGAAGTAAAAAAGAGAATTTGTAGACACGTTAGAACCATCTTCGTAAAACGAATCACATAATAAGTTTCGTATGCAATAATCTTTTATATAATAGTAACTATTTCTTCGCAGCACATTTTCTGATATAGTTCTCCTTTATAAGTTTCCGTGTATTTTACGCAATCTTGTAAAAAATACTTTTGAAAAAGTATTAAGATACTAATACTAGTATTCGAATAAAAAAGTATTAAAAATACTTTTAAAATACTATTATAAAAATGTATTTTACGAATGCTCCCAGCACAATGTTTGATGATAATATATTATTATTGTTTATAATTATAATAGGTGTCTAGGTCAAAAAATTAAATTAAATTAAATGTAAATTCATGATAATTACAACAATAGATTCCAACGACAAATTCCAACAATATTTTTAAAAAAAATATCCATTGACATTTCTTTATTTAAAAAATTATTATTAGTTTTATACTTCATCAATGTATTGAAGTATTCTTTCAAAACATTCCATTATATCAAAATTATGGAAGTGTGGTAATAAGCTGAAAGTTGCATTTGCATTAGGTCGTATCCCATGCAATATCTTTAATCGTCGTTATTAATATAGTAATTTGCTGTTGTAGATTATATTAATTTTTCCCTAAAATACCATGCACCATGTACTTATCTAATGTGTAGAATGTAGATACTTCATGATACTATGCTATATTTTTTTTATAGTAAGAAACCCCGATTTTTAAAGACCGTACAAATATACCAAGTTCAAAACGACCGTACCAACTTTCCGACAATCAATAATTTTACATTACAATTTAATTTCATCATATTTCGTATTACACCATATTATGGATATACGTCAATTTATCGTGAGGTAATTCAAAGTGAGTAAATTCAATGTGCCTCAATTTATCGTTTTAAATTCCTCACGACGTGCATTATTATATCGTAATGCAAATTTCAAATTTATTACACCTAGATAACTTATATATAAACCTACTATATAAATATGATATAAATTATTTATCGTAGCATTATTTTTTAGTAATTGTAATATTATAATCTCATAATTAATTTAATAACACAGTGTAGTTAACAATAAACCTGGGGTAGCAAAAACATATTTTTGATGTCAAGGGCCAAAAAATAAATACAAATTTTCATGGTCTTCGATTTTTGAATATACCTAATTTTATTTAAACATAAATGTGTATTCATATTCAATTAAACTTTTTTTAAAGTTTTTTTTAATTCATAACGCTGTTAGAATTGTTAATTTAACAATATGCATCTACAGACAAACAACGTTTTAATATACCGTTCCCAGTCCATAATGTCATAGTTCGTAATTCCTGGTTCTTTTACGTAATTATGTCTATTTGTATACAAATTATAAATTTCATTCGTGAGCAACATAAAATTGCTATGAAGGGCACGGGTTGCTGACCTCTAGATTAAATTAAACATTTTGATGAAATTGGATGTACAATTAACATTTTTTTTTAAATTGTATTATGTAGCATACTGTATTCAATTAGTTTAAGCTATTGCATTTATAGTTAGGTAAAAAAAAAAAGTATAGGTACTTGAGCAGTCCATACATTTATGGATTTATCTCTCAAGACTAAAGTCCACTACAACCCTCAACCTATCACTTATACTTATTACTTATTGTAAAAAAGTAACATTTACAGATCGTATAGGTATTAAATATTTAAAATACAAAAAACAAATATGATGTATGTATAATTTTCCAATTTCAATATGCAAATATATGATACAATAAATAATAATTACATTAATTAAAATATGTCAAATTTAAAATTTTTATAATATCAACATAATATTTGCTGTAATAATTAATAAATAACTGAATTAAACATCAAATTTACTGTGAAAAAATGCGTGTAGGTATCTATATATTATAAAATGTAATTTAAAATTATGAGTATTGATTTAAAATTGTCGTACAACAATAATTATGTCATTCTTCTACTGCGTTATTCGTCCTAGGCAAATCCTCCGAAATCAGTAAGTAACATTAATCAAATTCGAAATGTGATACTTAGGTGATGGTTTATTTTTTCGTCTGTCTTATCCAAGTGTCTTCAAAGTAATTAAATGTTGGTGAGAGTAATCCGTCATTTTTGGTCAATTATTTGGTGTCCAACAGTTTTTCATAAGCGTCAATTACCACACTAGGTAACTTTCTAATTTATAGCGAAAATATTACATCGTCAGTAGATCTTTTTTGAAGACTTTTATCTTGAATTTTCGTCAAATAAATCGAGAGAAATTACAAAAGAACCTTTTTAATTTTGCTTTGAGAAACTCTTACTTTATTGCATTCGTTGCAGCTCTTTCTAAGTCAACCACCACGCTGGTCTTAGGTCATGGTCCAGTTGTTATTGTTTTTAATGCTTGGAACATACGTCTATAAGTGTTTTTATCTGGTAGTAAGACTTGACTGTTTGAGTATTGTACTGAAATTATAGTGGTAATGTGGTATACACTTAATAAAATAAAGATAGGTATGTCTCTTTTGACCGGTTAATCTAACCACTATAGCTTCGGTCAACCGTGTGGTCCTTTCCCATGCATGTTGTTCACGAGTACTGTTTTGTTTTGACTATTCCGTTGTCGGCTCATTTGATAAAAATATAAATATGGAGGACGGAGCACTGGAAAATTTACCATTACAAAACCAACTGGCACATTGTTTGGTAAGTTTTAATAAAAGCAACGTTGAAAAAATGTCAGTCAGTAAATATAATACCACTGCAGCTGTCAATTGTCATATATAATTGTAAAAAATTATTTCCATCGGTGGTTTTTGTTATTTCGTCGGGTAGAGTATAATTAAAATCAGTTGATTGTTTGGTAATGGTTGGTTACGTACAGGTTGTACGCTTGAGTCAATGATGGCTATTAATATTGGTATAACTGAACGGCATATTCTGACATTCTGTGGGGATTTGTGAATAAAGTGCTGTTACTTTAGTCTCTATTTCTTTAAGTATTTCGAGGGTTTTTTAACATCAACTCCGTCTGAACATCCGTCTGTTCGATTCGGAACATGGTTGTGTTCGATATTTGTTTTTTTTTTTTTGACATTTTTCAGTCACTTAAATGAACTCGTCCATGACATTTGATTTCAAAGTATTCGTTACATTTCCATATAGATTTGATGCCATCGTCTTTTTCTTTTTCAAGAAAAAGATGGCCATTGTACAAAAGCGTGCATTTTCCTTTTTCAGTCGTTTGAAATCTTTCACATTTGAATATCCATAATTGTATACTATTTTATAAATAACAAACGAAAATAAAATCACCACAACAATCGCATCAATGCGCGGAAACAACGCGACGATATACATCGATGATTCAACGATTCGACAATATTCGATGGTTGTCAAATTATACTGTGGCAACAGAATATATGTTAATATACTTAATAGATAAATTGTGCATATAGATTATTATTGTGGTAGGTAGTTAGGTGCCTCTTTATCGTCTTCGACCGAGTTTATAATCCGAGACAATAATAGGTA